ATATGTTTGAAATATTTTAAATAAAACTGCAAATAACGTACATTATTTCTGGTGTCTTTTCAAGTATTTTTTACAATTTTTTAGCGTTAACTTCTGTTTAACTATACTACAGGAGAAAGTTTTAAACCTATCTCACTTTTTGGACCTGTCTTGCTTTAGTTTCCTATTACTCCTATTACTGAGTCGTTTTTCTTTTTAATTTTTTTTTTGTACTTTTAAAACAATTTATTATTGTATTTTTTTATGGTAGGGATCACACAAGACAGGCATATATGCCTAGGTACGATCCCCTCCATGGATAAAAACAAAACTTGTAATCTGGTACGTAATATATTTGATTTGATTTAAATCCAGCAATCTCATACTCTGTGTTTTGCGTTCCAGGATTTTTTCTCATCCATATTCCACAAGCTTCATAATAAGCATCTTTAAATGGTTTCAACAACCTATCAAGTGGTTGGAGCTTATGGTGTAGTATGAGGCAAAGTGCTGATTATATGAACGTAGTGCTCAAGAGCAAATGTAACCACCCTTGAGTCTTACATGTCCATCAGAAGTGGCCCATCCTTAGATGGCTTTGCATATTTGATAAAGTGTTCCATCCATTTAAAAGAAAAGATCGGCATTCATCCAACCATTAGGCTGTGCTTCAAAAACACTTTCTAAAGGTTTGCTAATTTTCAAAAAAAGGGGGTAAAAACTGTCCACCAGTAGACATGCAAAACAAAACTGTGACACTTTTGCCCCTCTCAGCAGATGTTATCTTGCCCACTTCCCTTTGGCCTTTGCATGCTTTTGGACAGTACTAGCTGTTGTCTCGTCGCAATTGTAAATATTATATGGTTGAAATTTTAATTTTTACATTTTTCGATTAAAAAATCTCTCCACTTCTGGCCTATTAATTCCTACACATCTCATAAGACTTGTGGATTCAATAGTCATTAATGAAAGATCTGGATGTCTAGACATAAAAGCTTGGTAACAGTCTTTCCCAGCCATTTTCTGTGTTGTATTAAATCGTTGTGGCATCTTCAATTTTTCAGCCAACTGAAAAGTTAACTGCAGGAATTTTTTTCTTGACAAAGGCATCAATCTACTTGACAAATCTTTTACATGTTCGACAAGAGCAGTTTCGTGTTTTGAATTAAAAGTTTTGCTCAATCGTCCAAATTTAGCCACTCCATTTTAGGAACTGAATATGTTACAGCTGCTTGCCTCACGCCCATTTTTCCCGCAATAACTGTGTCGCATGCTTCATGCTATCTTGACTCCAGTTGCCGCGATTAGTATTTCTGCCCTTAAATTTGGACATCTTGCAGTATATTATATTCAATCTCTAATGAAGTAATACCGTGAATTAGCAAAACAGCAAGCAAGCCGAATTCTAGATGAATTTTAAATGTCCGACACTATCATTGTATCCGAGGATACCCTTCAAGCGCCATTTTAAAAATACAACGTATACAAATTTTTTGTTGATGAATTTTAAAGCAACAACCGCACATTCATGTATCTCAATGAGCATAAATACCCACTAGCAGTAGAAAATTCTCTTATACTTAACGTTTTACTGACAATAAGATCTGATAAATTAACTGGAACACGAGATGGTTAAACCAAAAATATATTTCTGTCAACAACTTGAAAGCTAACGACACAATTATGCTAAGATTTCATCTTTGCCGTATTCTAATGCAAATATTACTGTAGAATGATACTAGAAGCGACACCTATCATTTAGTAGCAAACCTAAAAGTGTCCGGGGGTACGCGCTGTCCGGCGGTACCCACCACTTCCCTACGGTATACCCTAAAGCTTCATTTTTTTTTAGTGAATAATTTCTGCCTTTTACTGACCTTTTTTTTTATTATCAACTACTGGATGCGATCCCTTTTAAGTAAAGCTTTGTAACCTACCGCACCCAGGTACCTTAATAATTTATTAATTCCATTTATTAAATAAAATGTTCCATTCTTTTAAATTCAAAATGCTTCATTTAACGAAAAAAATCTCCCAGATAATTAAATCTTATTTACGACACCTAATAAATAATATCTATAACCACGTCCGTAAAAGATGCACGTGGCTAAGTTCCTCGAGAAAGAAAACACCATAAAGTGTATTTCTGTTTACGAAGTAATTATCATTAAAACACTTAAGTCGCTTATTTTCCTAGTTTCGATGTTCAGACCGATATCGACAATATTTCGATACACAAAACTTTCAAGGCAAGTAATAAATAACCCACCCCCTTTTGCACCTACATTCGTATTTTCTATGAGAAGCAAAACGATAGAGACGTCACAGAAACGATTAAACGGTGTATAAAAAGTCTGACGAAAGGAGCTCAGAGGCATTCAATTTTTATCATTTGACGTGCAAGCATACATTTTATTATCTGTACCCAGTTATATAATCTGTACCTTTCCTAAACGCTCCTCCTAAACGACGTCTATCCTACAATACCTCCTATCCCCGACGGTGTCAACGTCTCGACGCCCAACTTCCTGCCATCCTACTCCCTACGTCTCGAACGCTGTCACATTCCTCACCATCTAAGTATTTCCTACCGTACACTCATTTCGACGCTCAACGTCCCACGCCTTATTTCCGACGCTTTGCCGTCCATAATTATTTCCTTCATAATATCACGTCCCGCACTACCTACTTAATTCTACCGTATATCTGTCCCAATACAGTACCGTATTAAATACCTTCCCTTCCATCACGACGCTAGACGTCTCGACGATGGACGCCTCGACGCCTAACCCTGCGACGTACCTACATCGACGCCTTCCACGACGCTAGATAAAATTAGTACATAATTTAATGTCTGTATTTTCAATGGTGAGTCAAAAGATTTATTTAACCTTCTTTGAGATACCACCCCGGTTTCGTTTAAGGACGGCCTGACATTTGCTGTAAAATATTATCAATTTAACCAATAAACCACATGGCCTTCAGGTCATACACCCCAAAAGATAGGATAACATCTGTTTTGGATGGGTGAAATTTGGAGTATTTTAATAGAAATAATAAAAATCAATATTAAGAAATATACAGGGTTATATTAAGTTATTTCAATAGAAATTATAATAATCAATATTAAAATACATACAGGGTTGTATTAAGTCATATCAATAGAAATTATAAAGATCAATATTTGGAAATATACAGGGTTGTGCTATCTTGGATAAATTGTACAAACCAAGATGGTAAAATTTAATAGTAAGTTAACCAACTGGCGAATACGCTGTTCGTTAACTCAAGGGGGGACACCTATACGCTAAGCAACCCGTTCTACAAGGTTTGAAACAAAGTATATGTGAAATCAACATAGTAAGGTAATCAACTGGCGAATTGGCGCTGTTTGTTACTTCCGTTGGTCATCACCTCTATACTCATCGTAATATTTACCTAAGAGGGTGCAACCTGTATATATCTACAATAGAATCAAAACAACATCAACTCAATAGTTAATCAACTGGCGAACTGGCGCTGTTCGTTAACTTCATTGGTCATCAACCTAAATAAGAATAGTTAATCAACTGGCGAATTGGCGCTGTTCGTTAACTTCGTGGGTCATCAACCTAAATCAGAATATAAACAACAACACTATAACACTATAGTTAATCAACTGGCGAATTGACGCTGTTTGTTAACTCTGTTGGTCAGCAACCTAAATAAAATATATATTGATAGCAAATGAATATGGTCTGCGTTTGAACGGGACTCAAGTGAGATCTCAGTAAATAGTAACAATTGTAATATACTTTGCTAATTATTGCATCACATTTAAAGTATGAAAAATAAATAGAGTTTAAATATGAATTTGTATGTTTTATTTATCAATTTGCACCAAACTTTGCATCGAATTCTGGTTTACCTTAATTAACATTATCACAACGTGGGTACATAAAATATCAATTAATTAATTAGACGATCACTTCTACTACTAGAGGAAAAAGGCCAAATTACAGTAAGTATAGAATTTAAAGTAAAGTAAAACTTGTGAGGTAAATAAATAAATAACATTCAAAATAAAAAAAATAAAGAACAAACCAAAAGAAGAGGGGGCCTGGGGGCGGGCCGTCACAGCTTCAAATACATTTGACTAGTTTTATAAATAAAATTTTCTAAAAAATAACAGTTTGTTAGGTATTTTATAAAATTAAAATAAAACATTTACTTCCAGTGCAATCTAGGATTACAAACTTAAATCCGCGAGTTTTCTACGTTCCATGTTCCACTCTCTCAATCTAGTAGTTAACGATATGGTAAAAGCATCTTTGGATACCGCAAATTTCTTTAATATGATTCAGAAAAATATACCGAGTGTTCAAATTAAGGTGTTACAGTTAAATACCGCCGAAAATATGCATTTTAGAAAAAAAAGTTTTAGACAAAAGTTTTATAGTTTTTTGGGGGAAACATTTTGGCTAAATTCATTTTTTTATAGCTGACCATAATATGGCCATATCGAGGTGAACTTTGCTTTTTAAATGGGAATCCCATTTTTTTCTTACATATTCTTAAAGTACATAAAAAAATAAGAAACTTTTGAAGGAAATATTTTTTTTATTGGTCTTTTACTTTTTGAGTAACAGCTACTTGAAAATGTTGCTGTGCGAAAAAAAAGTTGGCCATACTATGGTTAGCTATAAAAAACGATTTTAGGCAAAAGTTTTTCCCCACAAAACTATAAAACTTTCGTCTGAAACGTTTTTTTTATAAAAAGCGGTATATAGCTGTAACGCTTTAATTTGAACACCCGGTATATATTTTTTTTCAGCATCTACTTTTCACTGGGCAATTCTTCTAAAACATATCCAGAGTTTGACTTTAAAACCATTAAGTGATACTAAATAGGAGAGTGGGATAGAGGCTTTAAAGCCTTTATGATTTTATATCAGAGTCGTATACGACGCCTTGCTAAGTATTTATGAGAATGAAGAAATTGAAAATTTCTTTTTATATTATCACCATAGATTAAAACTTACTTCTTCAAAAAAGGTAGAGTCTTCTAAACTTTCAACTTCAACAGATTGTCCAGGTTTATAGAATCCAAACCATTCTGACTCTACTGGTTGAACCATAGTATCATTGTCAAATTTAACTAAAACCAAGTGTTCTAGTTGTTGAAGTCTGGCAATATAATCTGCGTTGATTGTTCGTTCGTTATTTATATCCGCCAAGAAAGTACTTTCTTTTTTGTATGTTGCTTCATCTAGAGGATCGTGCCAGTATGTTGCTTGAACTAGCGTTTTCTGTACAACGCTAAAAATGTAAAATTTGTCATTTAAAAAATACTCTAATATAGGGGAGGTTGGGGCAAAGCGGCCACTCGAAGCAAAGTGGTATTTTCCATTATCCTAACAAGCGCATGAGCACCGTAAGCACAAATACACATATTAGTTCCCTGTCGTTAGCTGAACTAATCAGTCTGTATTGAATCTCAGAGCAGTGCACATGTAAGTCGTTAGTGTGTCTGAAAAGTTTTTGCCGTCTATTTTACAACATTTATAGGTAAGTAAATAGCCGATCTGCTTTTAACTATTAACAATTTGTTTGGTGTTATATTTTTATCATATGTGTTTTACGAATTATAGTCAAGGTAGATATTATAAAATATATGTCTATTTTTTTTAATTTTTGTTGATACTTGTTGATGCATCTAGGGGCAAAGTGGTTTTTTGTTGTGGGGCAAAGTGGACAGTGGGCCACTTTGCCCCACATATGTTAGAGCTGACAATATACATGAAATTAAATTGGAAAAAATAAATGAATCTAAAAATATACTTTTTCTTTTTCAGAAAAATTATGGTACGAAATTATAAGCGTAAGACCAAACAACATTTTTGGTCAGAAGACAATATGGCAGCAGCCATACATGATGTTAGACATGGTTTAATTAGTGCGAAAAAGGCAGCTATACAGTATCAACTTCCTCTCACGACTTTAAGAAGACGTGTTAAGTCTGAAAAAGATCCTCAAAATGCTTCTAAAAAGAAGTTAGGAAGGTTTGTAACTACTTTTTCTAGCCAACAAGAACAAGAATTGGCCAATTTTATAATTGATATGGAAAGTAGACTTTTTGGCCTAACTATTACGGAAATACGGCGACTTGCTTTTGAATATGCCGATAAAAATCGTATTCCACATAATTTTAATACCAACAAGGGTTTAGCTGGACGTGATTGAGTCTACGGATTTTTAAAAAGACAAACAAATATTTCATTGAGGCTTCCAGAATACACATCACAAGCAAGAGTGTCCGCGTTTAATAAACATAATGTGTCTTCATTTTATAATTTATTGAAACAAATGCTCGAAAAATATGAATTTTCCCCTAGTAGAATCTTCAATTGTGACGAAACGGGTATTTCTACGGTGCCAAACAAACCCTCAAAAATATTGTCTTTAAAAGGAAAAAAGCAAGTTGGCAGTCTTTCGTCAGCTGAACGTGGGACCTTAACTACAGCGGAGATTTGCTATAATGCAGTTGGATGTTATATTTCCTAGAGTTCGAAAATGTCCTCCACTGGAACAGGGGTTACCTCAATCTGGGTGGATGCATAGTGAGATATTTTCAGATATTTGGTTCCAGCACTTTTTAAAATACACTAAACCATCAGAGGATGATCCAGTGTTGTTAATATTAGGCACTCTACACATACGAAAAACTTGCAACTAGTTGAGAGTGTTAGAGCTAACCATGTGCATATAATTGTAATACCACCGCATACTTCACACCGGTTACAACCACTTGATGTTTCTTTTATGTACCCTCTAAACTCATATTATGAACAAGAAACTAGAAAATGGTTGCTTAGTAACCCCGGAAAGGTTGTTACTATCTATCAAGTTGGAGAACTTTTTGGAATCGCATTTCAACGAGCGGCAACTACTCAAATTGCTGTCAATGGGTTTAAAGCAACTGGAATTGATCCGTACAATCCAGATATATTTCCGGAAGATTTGTTTAAACCAGCAGAAGCAACAGATAAACCTATTGATCAAGAACGGCCAAACACTCCCCTACACGAAGTAGTTGATAATGCGCGAACAGTTGAAAATAGTAAATCCCCACAACCAGGACCATCCAACGCCAGGACACCACCCCCAAAAGCTTTTAAAGAATCGCGAGAAATAATCGAAAAAGAAAATTTTGAGAAGCTCTATTATTCGCCAAGTGATATATTTCCTCTACCTATTTCGAAGGAGAAAAAACAAGAAGGGCAAAACAATGGTCTTAACGTCAACTCCAAACTATGAAGAGCTTAAAATTGCAATTTCAGAAAATCAAAAAACTCCGAAAACGAAAAAGAAAGCAGTTAAAAAGAATCTGATGACAAAAACTGAAAAAAGAAAATTGGACGAATCTTCATCAGATAGTTCGACCACAGTTGAGCTAAATGACACACGGATGACTCAGGAAGTGAATTTCAATTTTATCCAGAACCATCGGGATATTCGATTGACAAAATTGATTGTAAACAACTCAATGCAGGTGATTTCATATTTGTAGAGCTAACATCAGAAAACAAACGAAAAAAAAAATTTGTAGCTAAAATAACTGCTATAGATAAAAATGTTGATACTGCACAATATACCATTTTTGTATCCTTTCTGAGGCAATATAGACAAACAATGGATATCTATGTTTTCCTGATATAGAAGATCTTAGTGAAGTTCTAGACTCTGAAATTTTAGGAAGACTTACGGTTAAGATTTTGAGGCATGGGAAAATTCAAGTTTTGTAATTTGCCTCTTCAAAAAATGGTTTATTTTTCCTTATTTAAAATTTGTTCGTTTTTTAATTTTTAAGTTTAAGAATAACTTCATATTTAATTCTGTGTAATAATAAAGGTTGACTTTAGCATAATACGTGTTTTAAATCCACGATTTTAATATGTTTAAAATATTTCCACTTTACCCCACATATGGGGCAAAGCGGTTTTTTACATTTTACTATAAAAACGCTTCTACATTTTTTATGATTCCTTTAAGTTTAAACAGTATGATATAATATGAGAGATAAGAGATATAAAAATGTATTTGTATTATATAAACTTTAAAGAATCATAATTATCGTATTTTTCCACAACTTTTTTATTAAGGTGGCCTCTTTGCCCCAACCTCCCCTAATTAGTTTTATTTCAATAATATTAATAAAAAAAATAATAATTTATGTTCAAGAAATGTATATAGTAATTCTTGATTTTAGATATTTTGATGTAACTGAAACTGTGAATTAATTGGACCCGCTACTGCATCCATCTTAATGCTGTTAAGATAAAAACCATCAATCATATACCTGCTACCATAAGTCCAAACAAATTAAACTTGGAGAAAAAAATTGTTTACAGGACTTTGATATGAAACTAGAGCAATTTAATAGAAAGAAGAATACCATAATCAAAAATATTTGACTTACTCTATATAAGCAGCATGATTGAGAAGTTTTCTCAAGTAATCACACAAAGAAATTGATAAAGCGCCACATCGTGGAAGGCCATATACTCCTTGATGTTGTCCTCCCAAAGAAATTAAACTTTTTACTTTAATTGTCGGACATCTCTGAATTAGACCTCTCCTAGAAAAATAAAATAACTTTATTCAATACCTCTTTAAAAGATTTATAAAAATATATTGGAGTTTAGTTTTGAAAATCAATATGATTTCTAGTTCAGGCTGTCATTTATAATGTATGGCAATTTGATAAATAATACGAAATATCGAACAATGATTCTGATGATTTGATAAAAAATCGCACTATAAATATTATAATAATGGCCTAAGGATACAAAAAATAAGCAATTTTTTTATAGTGAGAAAATCTTTTGTTTTATACATATATAATGTATCTGATCTCACCCGGTATTGTAGTTCAGAATAGAGTCATATCTATTTTTTTGAAGAAATTACTTAGTTATGCGTATTCTTCTTTTCCGTATAAGGAAGCCAATGGAGTTTGAAACACACTGGTTTAAAACCAATACTAATTTTATTCATTGTAATTTAGAACATAGAATTTAGATAATTGATTATTCTTCTGACATAGTATTTAAAATGTACAACGTTTAATGTTCCACTTAATTTTAAAAGACTTTTTATAAATGGTAGTGCTTAAAATAAGACTCAAAAGTCAACATCAAGTTCTAATGAAATGGTGTGTTTTCTTCAACGTTGAACTGATAATGCTGGTAACGCCTTTGCTTTTGGTTTTTTTATGAATTTAACAAAGTTTAAAATAATGTTTTAAGAGAATAATTAAAGATGAATGGGTACAGCTTATATTCTAATATGATGAAGATAAAACAACTAGGATTATAATTGACTTGGTAGAGAATTCGGACGATGAAAGAGAATACTTTTTAAATTTATTATTCAGAAAATTTAAAATCTTGCTTAAAGTTCATTGTTATCTATTTCATACTAAGTTGATTTTTTTATTATTAGGTACTGTACTATGTACAGCCATTTAATGTGAAATTTTTTTTTGTATATATTTCAAAACAAAAATAAAAAATTTAGCTTTTTAACCAAAATGATATATACACTTATTTATTTTTTATATTTTAAAAACAAATATTGCGTTTCTTACAAAAATTGCCCTCCTTGTGAAAATCCAATGGCATTGAATCCGTTTGCTAGCTTAGGATCGGCGGAAAGCGTTTTACACACCTCTTCAATTTGTTCAGACGGATGTTTGAAAAATCCGTTTTCCACATCTTCAATTACGTTTGATCCAATTTCAATTGAGTATATATAGGTTCCGAGTGTTTCGTTTAGTTTGTCTTTAAATCCTCCCAAACTAAATGGGAAGCAGCAACTGTCACCTAAAAATTACCAGAAATTAAAAAAAAAATAAAAACTTTCAATGGTAATAAGTACCAAATATCAAGGTTAATTTTATTGTAAAATTTAAAGGTTAATGAAGCATTTTATTAATAAATCTTAACAGAGTACTAATCTATTGTTTAAAATTGTTTATCAAGTTATTTTAAATATTTATAGTCATGAATAATCTTTGTATAAAACATTTTTTAAATAATTGTTTACATATACAATCTTATCTTTTTACATAGTCATCTACCTTATTCACTTTATGAATTATTATAAAGCAATGTGGATGGGTAATTCTTCTTTTGGATGGTTTACCAAGATCAATATATGATATTTGTAGAACTGCAGTATCTACTAGAGGTCAGGCCAGTAATGACCTGTGGAAAGAACATCGTAGTAATATGCTCACGGCTTTAAATTTTGGAACCGTTTGCAAATTACGCAAAAAAGACTTAATAACATATTATTTTCATCTTTTTACAGATTAGTCGCTACAAAATGGGGACAAGATCATGAATCTATTGCGATAGAAGAATTTAAAAATTAATATGGAAAAACGGTACAAGAATGTGAATTATTTATTTATGAAAAACATCCATACTTGGGAGCAAATCCAGACGGCATTATTAATAATAATAAAATAATTATAATTAAATGTCCATATTCTTCTTCCAAATTGACACCAGAAATGGGAATTCAAGAAAAAAATTAAATATCTAGCCAATACAGATGGCCAAATTAAATTAAAAAAAGATAATTATTATTATCAGGTACAAGAACAATTGGCTACAATGGAAGCCAAATATTGTTATTTTGTAGTCTGGACCTCACTAGGAATGTTTGTTGAGAAAATTGAGAGAGATGACAATTTTTGGTTATGTGCTTAACCAAAGTTAGTTGATTTTTATTTAAAATATTTAATAAAAGAAATTGTAAATAGAAATTGATGTAATTTATTTTTTTGTGATTATATTTTGTTATGTGAAATAAAATGTTTCATTAAAAATAGTAGGTAATTAAAGTTTTTTTTTTTTTATTAGGTATTTAATTTATTTTGACCTATTTTTACTTTCAGTAAACGGAGAAAAGATAAAACTAATACATTATATTCTTTCATAAAATTAAAACAAAGCATATATAGTATGTTCGATAAAATATACATGCGTACGATAAAATAGTTTTCAAAAAATGTTTCGTCTACACTACAAATTAATTGTGCGATTAATGCGATAATATTTTATATTATGTACCACTGTGTATTAAAGCACTTTCTTATTTCAATACTTATTTCCCACTTAGGTCTTGATAATGAGAAAGTAAGCAAAACCATTTCAACGTTCCTTTTTACTGATATGAAATAAAAAAAGCTGTACTTAAATAGTTTTGTTTACTTTTGTTTAAAACGCCTGATTGATGACACTGGCAGACCGGATTTGGCTCGCGGGCCGTAGTTTTAGACACCCCTGATCTAAGTGGTAGAAGCCCACCAAATGGCCACTTCCAAAAATTGGGACAACTGCAGACACCTTTTTTTTATAATTTAAAAATATAGATAATAAACTTTCATTTGGAGTTTTTAGGCCTCCATAAGTGCTTTATTTGCAATCATATGTTAAAATCTGTGAACTATCCAAATCCTCACATTCTTTTGAGAATTTAATAAATGTATCACATCCATGTATGCCTAAAGCTTTTTTGATCAAATAGCCACAAACATATTTAAATGGATTTTGAACTATTATATCTTCTGTCCTGTAGCTGTAATTAGGAAGAAAAACAGCTTCTCGAGTGTTTTTATTTATTTCAGGATACAGAGAGACAATATTTTTACATCTAATTGTAGCAAGTGCTTATCCAGGTCTTCATTACAATTCACGGAATTGCAATGAAGATAATTTTGACAAAAAAGTTTTTTAAATGCCCTTTCGAATTGTACAGGTGTTGGATTAATTAAATTCCCACCCTGTTGCCTAATGGACCCAACAAATTTTTCTAGACAGTCACTGTTGATTCTTCTAGCCATTAAATATTTAAATCTCGCAGCAGATAACCTTTCCCATAGAAATTTTAAACCATAAAATCGTTAAATATAAACATCTAATTTTTATGATGTGACGTAAATAGTATTTAATTATATACATTGAAATCCGACAACCGGGGGTTGATAATTAATTTAAATAATTCCTATATATTACATATTATATCCAAATTTTTTATTTCGAATTCAAACAACATCCCAGCATCCCGCCTAGTAGGCGCCGTTTAATTACTTCTGGGAAAAGAAATATCTACGCGTAAACTCTAACGGTCGCTAGAACAAAACAGATGTAACCGATAGGGCTATATTCAGGAATTAATACAAGGCTTTATAGTCTTTATGCCTGAACTCATAGTCGTTCTCTTTCCGATACATTGGCATATATGGGAAATTTAAGTATAAATACCCGGGTTTTTGAGGGCTGGGAGATTAGTTTTTTCTTCTTCACCGAGTCGAGTTAACAAAATACGCAAATATCCAGGTTACCGCACGGTGACTCCTTTTTCTTTATATTCTTCAAATATAATTAAAAAGAGATATCGCTACCCTACGGTGGCCGCGTTTTTGTTATATTTTGACAACGGAAATTAAAGATATTAGTTTCTATAAACGACGGCTTCTGCATAGATATCCAGTTATCCTTAGGATGACCACCTTTTTCTTATATTCTAGATATAAGTAAAAGGAGATATATAGTCAGTTTGACCAAGCAGATACACGTTGAGTAGAAACAGATTTCGCTCCTAGAACTGTTTTGTAAGGTTGTATCTAACGAGCGACTAAAATATTGGCGTAACTAATACTGGTGATACCTCGCTAGCCTAGTTAAACGTCAGATATTTTGTATCTCCGGTTCAACATTATAAAATTTTACTAAATGATTAAAAGTACTGCTCTATAGGCGACGTTCGTAGTGGATTTCGTCACCCTTCTGGCTGACCCGACGAACTTGCGCCAGGTAGACACTTTTATCAGCGGTATACTTTTCTTTCTGTAAGGTTTCTTTTACGTAGAATTAAAACGATAATCGCACTATTAAAGTAATCAAACTAGTAATTAATATTCAGATATTCCGGGGGAGAATTTAGACAAACATTAATAGGTCACAGGTATCACTTTATTAGTTTTATAATCATTAGCGGGAACATTCGCGTCTGTGTGTTAATAGGGAGTTTTAGCAAACAGCCGCTAACGTTACCTTAGGGATAGACTGTAATCTACTCTGTTCAATGTTTATGAAAAAGGTCACAATCTAAGTTTAACGTAACGTTAGCGGAAATCTTACGTACATTTGCTAAAACTCTCTATTGTCATATTTTTGGTATTCATTGGTAAACGTTTATTGTGGGAAAAATTATAGGGTTTTTATATTGTGCTAAATTAGGTTATTTAGAGAATCGATAGTGATGTTGTTGTCATAAATATTAATTGTTGTATAGTCGGTCAATGCTCTCCAGTAATAAATTAAGTCATTTAGATTTATGGCCAAAGGGCCGAATTGTAAAGTTTCGGTTGTCCGTAAGCAGTACCTGCCCTTTTCAGTAAAGATAAAAAGCACTTTCGGTTTTACTTTTAAATGGCAAACAGATGTAGATTAGTAGGGTAAATGCCTGGATTTGTATATATTTTAAAGTTAGTTTGCGGTTTAAAAAATATGTTTTCTGTCGTTCTTTGTAAAACAAAATTGGGTAGACAAATGTGTCATTTTAGCCGTACGGAATTTTAGTTTTGTGTATCGAATTTTCGGGAAGAAGGAGATATGTACAGCGGCGGGTAGAATCATGAATATTGAGGAGGGTCGTATTTATTTGTACATATCCACGTATCTTTAGCGGGACATTACGCGGAAGTAGTCGGTATGTTTGTTATTTATTTAGAATAAATAGGTGATATTGTGTTTGTGGACTAGCTAACGTATCCTCAGAACTGTGATTAATAACACTGATTTGTCAATCGACAGAGCAAAAGAGCATCGTGCCGAAAAAGACGCCTCAGGCCACCATAGACCGCCAGGGACCTCAATAGTAAGGGCCTAAAAATGGTATTTTCCTTGCGGCTATGTAAATTAAAGCCTGATAGAGGCTTGGATGGATCTCTACTGAGATACCCCAAAAGTGGGCCTGACGGGCATCCCCCTTTATATCAGGTGTTCTCCGATCGACCGTTTAGTGTTGTCCATACAGGACTGAGTATGTCGGTAAATTACGGCGTTGGAATATTAGAGCAAGGCGTGACGCACGGTGAGGTAAATCTACACTCCGGTTTTTACACATATTAGAAATAATAAATTTAACCGACTTCAAAAAGGAAGAGGTTCTCAATTCGACGCATTATTTTATATCTCACAATACTCCTCGTGCTACCGTTGTACTCTCTTTTATTAGACAATGCGTAATTCACTAGTTCCGTGGAAACGTGTGATTGTATATTAGGAGACAAACAAACATACCAAAGTACTTCTGACTTTTATTTTACCCTTTTATGGGAACTAAAAGCTCTGAGGTTAGAAATGACACATTAGAAAGCCTACATAAACATAATGTTAAGCCTAAAAATGGCACACAATCTAAATGTTCGGCTGTACAAAAGAATAGATGTTAAATAAACAGTATTCAAAATTAATCTCGGTGTTTCCTTTGTTCTTCCTCCATTACAGCTACATTGAACTCTAAACGAAATTCTGGGGGTTTTAACATCACTTCGTGGGGATCTACTAGACGAAATTTAGGCCAAGGTTATAAGTATTTGCAAAACTAGGTAAGGGTCCGGTTTGTCAAGTTACAACATATAGGTAATATAAGCAATTGGGCAGCATTGTGCTTAACGGGTGACTTACAACAGGCATTTGCTAAAACTCATCTGAAGTCAAAAATTTGTACGTAAGAACAAAAATTGAAAATCTTATTGAAATAAAATAATTCTTGTATTGTAAATTCATTAAAAACTCACTAATTTGTAACTGTGTGTTTTAATAAATATTATTGTTATTATGTTATTTCACTTCTAAAAAGATACCTACATAACCTCATTTTAAATAAAAAAATAAGGTGCTGAGTTAATTTATTAGTTCCAGGAAGAAACCAAAAAATGTTTAACACATTTCATACAATGAATGGCATACAAAAGTAATTTATTTTAATCTAATGATAAAATTTTAAAATTGGCACATCTAGATTTTCACCGGAACTCATTTATTTAAGTTACACAATATTCTGATTAATTTATTTGCCTAGAATACATTAAAATGTTATATGTACATGTTTTAATTTTTTTCTAAGTGTACATCGCTAATTTGCAATTTTAGAGTTTACTTTTCTCCGTGTAGAAATAAGCGACAAAAACGTCAACTGTCATTGAAAATCTGACCACCCCGACATCAAAGAAGCCGACGCAATCTGTCGCTACTGTATTGTTCTTTATACTGGGGTCATACATCAATCAATACATGAGAAGACACATGACACTTACTCAACACTCTCGTCTTGTCAGTCATACAATGTACATCTAAAATCTACTAATAGTTTTGTCATCCATTTATATTTGTTTATAATTATATAATGAATCAGTAGTTAATAAATACTAGTTACTGGACCATATGTTATTTAAGCCCGCAGTTCATACAAGAACATAAGATATACTTATAGCAATTACTAATAATAATATTAAAAACTCATTACACAACAAGGTGTGCGTAAAGTTATTTAGTGTACCTAATTATCTTATATTAATGACTTCTAATAGATATCTAATTACTAACATAATATAAAAAACATTTATTACACAACAAGATGTTGGTTTAACTAAAGTATATTAAAAAAAAAGTTTAAAAAAACCCAAGCAGCTTTCTTTTAATCTCAAGTGCCGCTCATATTCATTTACTTAAATTTAATAAGCTATTTCTTTCGATACAAAGATTACAATTTGTATAGTTTTGTAGTTATAGCAAGGAATAACTTTATTTTAAAAAGAATTTGTATTGTTTCAATTTTTCATGGTTTTTTTGTTACTTTTTGGAAGAACTTTTTGTTTCACTTTAGGAATGAGCAATCTATATACTTATAAAAATTCACTGATGAAGAAAATGTTGCGCGATTTAAGTCACGCCTTAAAACAATCAATAAATTGATTATATAAATTAACACAGCAGTTAATTATTTTTGTTATAAAGAAAGTTTGGAATTATTTTAGTAGAGAGGGTTTGAAGCAAACTTAAAGTAGAATTTGGGGCGCATAAATTTTTATAAGGAGAAATTAAATTCGTAGAAGGAAGCCTATTCCAATTTAATATAGGTAATTTAATTAATTAGTTAAATATTTCGTATTATTTTATTTTAACTGGAATTGTTAATAATCATTCATATTGCCCATTTTTGATGGCCTTATACGCCACAAATGACAACAAAAATTTTAATCAAATTCACATTAATGAAAATAATTGTTATCAATTCAAACAATACCTACTTAAAATCAAATTAGAATCAGTTTTAATATCGAGACTTCAAAGATAAATATATTTTTTTTTTTTAAGGTGAAGGGGGGAGAAAAAGTAAATATTTTTTCTTAGATATAATGTATAACCAAATAAGTCAAATATTTACGTATTTCTATAAATTACTTTTTGATTTACTTAAATGTAATTTTTTGTATTTTACGATCATTTTGATTCAACCGATATAGGTATATCTGTTTAAAGTTGATATTGGAGCCTTTGTTTCGTCACTATAACCAAACTAATAGATTTATAAACTTCAAAATTTCAGAAAATATTTATAAAAAGTGTAGAAACATTCTTCTGCAAATAAAATGTTTAAATTTTAAAAGCTGTTAAAATTAGAGAGTTTCAAAGCTGAAGAATTCCTATTTGTTCAAAGCTGATATTGGAGTCTTTGTTTCATCACTATTTCCAAACTAATAGATTTATAAACTTCAAAATTTCAGAAAATATTTATATAAAGTCTTGCAAACAAATTTTTTTAAATTGGTTTGTTTTATTCTTATTAGGTATATTTTCTCATGTTTAAATTAAATGCTTTTTGTATTTCTTCAGTTCTACCATTGTACAGGTTTTCAATATTTATAGATATTTTATAGAATTTCAAATCCTTGCTGTAATCCTAAATGTTTTAGAAGCAATAAAATATATTTGCATTATTATTATATTTTTTGACATGACATATTTTGTTTTCAGTTCAATAAAAACGTACTTATCTTTTAAAACATTATTTTGTATTTTTTTATCTATTTTCAGTCACTATTTTCACATTTAAAATAACCCAATGCAATCCGTGTACGTTCGCTACTGCTGAAGATTCTAATAAGAGCGAGAAAGCCTGCATTAGAAAAAGAAACAATGCTTTTATTAAAGCGACATCAACACTGTATAGATTTATGCAGGGGTAGCCTATCTGTACATATATTATCTAAGATTTTAGTTCTGATTCAACTGTTTTTGGAACACCACCTGCTGCAAAAAAAAACATTGCAGTAAGTAATAAATAACACTAATAAGTAAGCATTTAAAAATTAAATGAAATTTTAGTTAATTAAATTAAGCTATTTAATATATTTAAAACGTTATTTTGAAAATTTTTACAGTTTTTTTACGATATTTTTTGCCATACCATTTTTTTTGTAATTATTAATTAAAAAATTATATATTTTTAGGACAGTGTTTTATTTAGATACCCCTACCTACTTAATGTTAATTTAAAATTTAAATAATTTTGGTTAACACCATACCAGGCAAATATAGAGTATATGCCAATAAACTATAAACCAATAAATATTCAAAATCGGAAGGTAACTTGAATTCTCTTGTATTTGAATTTACTTGTACTTGAATTTACCTACATGAAAAAATTATCATAATAATTATATTACTAAAAAAATATACCTACTTATTTAAGTATTTTTTTAACATACTATGACAATACTGGTAAGTTCAAAACTCTACGCCACTGGCGAGCATATTATGGACACTGTTTACAACGTTGCCAGCCAGCCGGTCCTAAGAGATCTGTCTTTCTCTCTTCCACTCACTAACAATTTTAAAACAATAATAGTCCGCAATTGTATGGGATTTATTAATGAAACATTTTGTCTTTATGTTGTAATGTCTTTGAAGAATTCCTATTTGTTTAAAGTTGATATTAGAGCCTTTATTTCTTATACGTACTATCTGCTACATTTATTATTAAAAGTCAAGTGAAATTGCAAAAATATTTTGCAAAATACACTTTAGAAAGAGAAAATTATTAAAGAATGCCTAAATATCTAAATAATATACCTCACGCCTTATATCATTAATATATTAACGAATGTGGATATAATCTAGATAAAATGTGTTACATTTTTCCTCCAATTTTCAAATAATTTGTGTTATAAAATAGAAATATAAAAAGCATACCTAATAAATAATTAAATTAGAAGAATTCTATGATTTTAGAATGTACGTAAAAATAAATTAAAGTGATTGTTATTTGTATAGTAATCCAGAAATTGATATAAATATTAATTTTTAAAATTATAATACCTAAACAAAAAGTTACTTTAATCATTTTTCCATTTCCTTGTCCCGCCTATGAACTCCGTTGTTTGTTTTAGAGATCGAAGTCGCAGAGCCAAGCAAAACATAACCTCTAAATAATTTGTAAACAAACAACTTACCCATTCCATGCCACAAAACAATCGGCGTATTTTCACTTTCTTCACATAGGGCACAATATATTATAGAACTAAATAATAAAACAATAAAATAAATTGTTTTCATCTTGAATAAGTGGATAGATATGCACTAATAAACATAAAAGCATTTAGACTGATTAAAGTGCTCTTGTCATGACTTCTGACTTCAATTATTCGCGCAGTCTCCTTCGACGGAACCGGCCGGAACGGAGGGTCTGAGTTTTTATCGCCAACGGTAGCATGAAGGTGGAGAAATTTAAAATGATTTCTTTTTAGTAGCAAGAAGCGAATTTTTCGTAACCTTGTCGCTAACTTAGAAGCAGTGGCGGTGTAAAACCACAAATTTCCTTTTACGAACAAATATCGTTTAGTACCTATCTAGCTGTGAAAAAAATCTACAAAATTTTTTTTTACACTGTCCAACAGATTTGCATCCAATTACCGGATATGAATCATAAATACATCAATACAATAAAATTAGATAAATAAAATAAAAATTACATATTATATTGTTCCATTTAAGGAGAGAGTATCCTTGTGCATTAGAATGGCGTCTGCAGACCAAAAGTTAATTGTAACTATTTCATTAATTATACCGTATATCGCACTATTTTTTTTTTTTTTTTAATTGTAGATAAAGGTCCAACTTAGGTGGTTAGAAAATGGCCCATTTTTAGACCTTTTTCATTGTAAGAATAAACTACAAATTCAATAAATTTTCTAAAAATTAAACCTTAAACATTTTCCTATCAAATCATTCAATCGGAAAATATGAAAAGGCTCAGACCTCCGAAATAGTTATAGAGTCATGGCGCTACTTATGGCCACCTTAAGGCAAAAATGCTTTGTGGGGTCTGTTTTTCAATAATATTTTAACAGAAAAAATAAATAGAAATAGTATTTGATAGGTTGAAGTATATAGTTTCCAATAGTAAATGCATCTACTTTGTTAAAAGCATGTAATTCTTTTTTTAATTTTTTTATAAAAGTGAAAGAAATTCTTTACTTTTGGCCATCATTCTGCCACTAGTTCTCTACTTATGGCCACTAATTTTTAAGTTGCATTTTTAAATATTAATTTAAGTGCATGTTTATTTACATGTATGTACCCAGTAGTGATTTAGAATAAGGTAGGGTATAACAAATAAAAATGTTTGCTAAAATATGAAATTTATTTTTCATGCACATTTGGGAAGGCGAGACCGATACCAGGACAGCGAAGGAGACCGAAAACGGTCTCTAAACGTCTGAACACATGAAATTAAATGAAACACATTTGGGAAGGCGCGACCGACGACATCACTTCTTTTAGTACGATATTATTTGCTGCTTGCTGCCTGCCACTTGAAGTCAGTATCGGTTTCGTCTTCCCAAATGGTACCTTAACGCTTCCTAAAAATGTTATAACCAATTTTTAACCTTTTTTGCCAACGTTCTTATACATTTGGCATACCTAGTAGGTATGCAATATACATCACAATAGATAATTCAGTAATTTACAGAGAAAATTCACTATTTATTAAGGATGTGATAAATCAAATTTTGAACATGTACAAAATAATTCTTTCAATATTAAGGATATAGAAAACTCTTTAACTTTTGAAAGATTAAAAACAATGCATCCCAGTACAATGAAAACAACACATATCTTTTTAGCTCTAAAATCAATAGAAAATAAAATTCCAAAATCACAACTTCCTTTTGAAATTACTTTAGAAACTACACAATTATACGAATCTATAATAAAAATTGAATACTACATTTATAAAAATAAAATAACCTATATTCTTAATATCCCTATAACTTACTCAGATATCTTCAATATTTATTATTTATATTCACTACCCGTTCCTTATAAGGGTCAGTTCAAGTTAATCATTTCCAGAAATAAATTCATGTTAAAAAGTCAGTTACACTTTACTTTTCGAAACGACAATTGCATCAAAACTTCCCTCAAAAATTAAATTTGCGACAAACAAGAAATAGAAGAATTTAGCAGCCTTACGCCTTGTGAGCTTCTTGTTTTGGATATGAAAAACACCTCACGATGCAAGCAAATTCATTTTCCTCTATCAAGCTCAAAATTTGATCAATTGGGAAACACGAATAACTGGTTAGGTGTATTTTCAAACGAGAAAGTCATAAAGGTTACCTGCAACGAACAACAAGAGATCAGAAAGTTAAAAGGAACGTTTTTAATAGAAATTTCTATAGGATGCCAAATACAATCACCACTAGAGACGTTATCCAATGAAAAGTCAATAGCCAACCAATACTTCTTCCTGACATTCAAATCACGAACGACACACTGCCATTCCTAAAACCAGGAGTGCCCTCCCTAAAACCAAGAGTGCCCTTAGAAGATATCAAGTTGGATCCCCAGCTAGCACAAAAATATCCAATCTACGTTAATAAGCTGCAATTTTAGGCTCTTTAAGCTCGCATGCAATGTACTGTAAATGTAACCCTATTATCCCTGCAACTACCGAATGTCCGTAACGGCAAGACTTTTATAGCACATCTCGTAGAAGTTATAAAGTGAAGTTCGGAAAACATCACACTAGCACTTTTACGGTACTTACCCCGAAAGTTGCTCTGAAACTTTCTATAGATGTTATAATGTGAATTCCTTCTACAGCATTAGAAAAAGAAGTTGTACTTCGAAACATATGTCATGTTAGTGTTTTTTTTTTAAAAAATTTTATTTTTAAAATAAAAGTGTGAAAATCTACCAAATTTGGTTTTACTCTTTCAAAATTAAATGGATTTTCATCAAGTAAAGGCCGAAACAATAAATAAAGTAAAAGATTTTTTTTTAACGGCTGACAACCCCCATTCAACAGGATAGAGTGGGGAACTTAACTAAAAACAAGTGTGCATCAGTAAAGTATATTCTGTAGTTGACGCCTTTTCTTTCTCTACTGGTACTCTACCTGGTACAAGTTATAGTATCAATAACTGGCAATTTAACTTATAATTAAATAACAAAAAAAAAACAGTGGTAAGGCTTAATCATATTACCAAGTTTCACCACATGCGAAAACTAAAATATTTGAACAAACTTTATTATTCCTGACCACACACATAGCGACACGATACTTGCTTCTAAGTATGGATATGGCGATAGTATTGGTAATTCAGTATCAGTGCCTAAATATGGATACTTTCATTGTTTAATATCGATACTTCTATAGTATTGAGACATCAATAAGATCCCTATTATCGTGTAAAATATAGGCAGTCATTTAATATTGCAATCTAAAAGAACAGACAATAAATTAGAAAATATGTTTCTATTTTATTGAAAAGAAGAAAAGAACTTACCAAACTTATTCAAAGGTATAGTTTACAATTTCTTTAAAATCTCCAATAAATACAAAGAAAATGTGACAAGTGACATTTTTTTTATGTTTTGTTGGTTATAACAAACGAATGGGTACGTTCGAAAACAAAATGATGTATATAGTACATCTCGTGGATACTTTTTTAGCAAGTTACTTTATTACGTTGTGTTATCATAACAGGCAGGTTAAATACGTAAGTAACAAATAGATGTTTCGCGAGGTTTTGATTTCTCTCAACAACTTCTCATGTACGTTGCAATTACGTTATATGATAATGTTATTACGTTCCCTTAAAACAACATCGCCGAAAGGCTTGGCAACGTTATGTGCTAGCTGGGTCAGCTCTCAGATATCCAAAATCAAGCTACAGAAAACCAGCCCTCGTTTTGGTCAACTGGTATATCCTATATACCCAGCGTGTAGACCATAGTCAACTACATTATGATGGCGGGGAGCAATCGCAGCCTTTGCCTACAAGAAGTTTCATTCTTGGAAGAAGACATCAACATCCCAAGGTCCAGTGATGCCATCCCCATCCATTTAACTCCCTCATCTACCCTCGTGAGTTGAAATTTCGGTGATAGAAGTCATATCAGCTCTTCTGATGACTTTGCAAGAATTTCAGCGCAAACTGCTATGCTTGCAGTTTGCTTAACCGAAGGTCCCTGGGCGAAGTGCGTGGAAGCCCGCGTCATATATTATCTATCATTTTTATAGTTAAGACATATGTTGCACATAAAATATATTTTGTAACTTAACAATTAGTACAATTTGTTTTTAAAAATGGATTTCGGCTTCTTAAGTAGTTAATTGTAGCAATATGCCGACTTCATTTTTCTTTACTACAGTTATTTTGATTAAACTTAAATAAAATACTACAAATAAATAAAAAAATCTACGTAAATAGGCATTTTCAACAGAATTAAATAGTATCAAGTGTTAGAGCTGGATTTATAAACTTCGTTCAGTTCACGCTCAGTTCGAGTTGGTGAGTTCGTGCTGGACCCATGGAGGTTACTAATGGAGATGCCATATGGCAATTGTTTTGCATATGATACGTTTTATTAAAAATGACCCACCTGGGCGTGGCGCGTGGCTTAAATGGTTGACTAAGCAGGGTCGTATTCAAATATAATTAAAGTCCGTATGCAGAATTACAACTTTTAAATGACTTACTAACCTAAGATTTGTTTCAACATGATCGATTCGAAATTAATTTGATGACATTGCGCAATTATGACTTCTACACTATTTACTATTATTTATTAACCGTTTTCTGACCAAGCCATTGCCAAGACCATAAAAGAGATTAATATTATTATATTGTTTTGTCTTCGCCGAAATCGTCCGATATATGACCTGTGTGATCGAAAATCAACGTTCGAATAACACTGTGCATCAGATTTGTTAATCTCTTTGTGCTTTAAAACTAAAACCCGAACTACGATTTTTCGTTCAAGGACTCTCTTGTCTTGACCAAAGCTGCCAATGTCAAAATCTGACAATGAGGAGAATTATGACATCAAATTACCAAACCAAAAACCAAACCACTACGTGAATTGTGAATAAATATATTTCAGTAAAAATACAGCCGAGTTTGTAGAAAGGACAATTAATTACTTTTAAATGTAAAACATGTAGGTCTTTCTGCTGCAGATGACATACATTAAAAATATGACCCGCTACAGTCAAAAGTTTAAAAAGACCAAAAATTCAGCTAGGTATGACTTTATGGTTAAAAGTAGATGGAAGAAAACCATGATCAAAACTACTCTGACAAAACCAATCGGAACTAAATAGACTCAGATAATAGTTGTTGGTTTTATTTATGTTTGAA